TTAGTAATATGAAATTAGCTCCTACTGCTATGTACATAAGCTATGAATAAAATGATGATTTAGGTAAATGTGGATGGAGCCCAGATATGCCACCACGCATATTAGAAGGTATTATTTATAGTTATGCTGAGTTATTATGTATTAGTGTAATCATTAATATATATGAATTGTTAATCATGTGAGCATGTTTCTTTTTAAGGTGTGGTTGTTAGTACAGAAGACTGTAATGATATTGAAAATTGGGAAAGGAAGAAAGTTGCAACAGGTTAGTCACCTTCAAAATTGTCCAATTATGGCATTGGTGAAATTACCTAAGATGGAAACCTAGTATATGTGGGAACTGTAGTTTGTACAAGCTAGGTGAGTGATTTACCCTGGATGTACTTTCCAGGATCTGCAAGTACAGATGAGGACCATGATATCAAAACAGTAGCAGAGGCACTTGCTGGGATGAAAGCAGGTCTGTAATTAACTCCCAGTACGTGACGTACATTTGTTTCTGGATGGCACATGCCAATTAATAGATATCCTCACTAATGTGCAGGTTTGTTTGGTGCTGGGTTAAGTGGGGCATGTGGCTCTAGGCAAGGTACATGCACACGTACAGCTGCAGTCAATTCAACAAAGCAGACATTGATGGTACAACAAGCTAGTTCACTTACTGGAGAAATAAACAAGGGCGGTAAGTTTGTGTTCTTGTTTACTGTTGAAGATAAAGCATCATGTTCCATATGATGTGCCTAAAAAAATTGCAATTACGAAATCTAGTTGCATTGATTGGAGATGAAATTAAAACTAATGAAGGTACACTTGAAGGAGATGGCGGAAAACAAAAACCAGGTTAGTTGGGTTGCTAATTTTATATTTGTAATAGGTCTGCTGCTGATAAAAAGTATATTTGAGATTATTTGCTCCATAATAAAAACATAATATGCAAATCATTTAGATTTTTTCATTTTGTTCCGTAAGAATGTAAATTGCAGATATGTACGATATATATAGTTGATGATGCGGATGTGTAACGGGATTCTAACATTTTCACAAAATTCTATAGTGTTGAAATTCTATGTCAGGAGATTGGCGAAAAACAGAGATATTTTTTTGGATCGTGAAAGAACCAATGAAAGATGTACCGTTTTGTCTGAAAGTGTTAAGACAGACGAAATGAACCCGATACTAGCACATGACGCATTCAAGAAAAATTCTTTGGGTGGGTTAATAATAGTACAGACCTTTATATATAGGATGGAACTTTTCTGTTCGATTCTAATTGTGACAACATTTTATGTTGTACGTTTTTTTTCTTAATTGTACTGCAGGAGGTAATAATTTAAGTGAAGAGAGCATTACAGCTGTTGCAGATGCAGATATTGGGAAGAAGAGGTCAATCTCTCAAATAAATCGACTGATTGAAGGTTAGAGTAATTTGTTTTCTGTATGTATATGTAGGTAGTATATATTGTTTTGTAATAATATAATATATTTTGATTCCCAGTTTGTAAACGGCAACGTATCGCCGCGAAGATGGATGTTCCAATCATATCAAATGGACTTAGCAATGGTGGGTTAGGAGGACCTGGCGCCTACTTTTTAAGCAATAGGAAAGTACTGAAGGATTCTATAGAGCAGCTGGAGAATACAAAGGGAATGGAACTAAGGAGGTGAATATAATCTAAATCCTATAACAATTAGTTCATTTTTCTTCCCTAATATAAATTTGACTGATTAAGTTCATTCAATTAGGATCTGGATTGAGCATCCTATACCTGTTGTGCTGCAAATTACTGGAACTGAGATATATGCAATGATGAAACCTGGAGGAGAAGTTGGTGCAAGACAATTTGATATTTTCCGTAGGCTTGTGTATTGTCAGGATAAGAAGTTATATGCTCCTAGGTCAATTTTGAGGCTGAGGAAGGTTCTTCATCTAAGCTGGGCGGTTAGTTCATTGTAGGAAAATAAGTATATAAGAAAACAATTTGCGCGTAGTTAAGATTTCTAATTTGGTAGTGGTAATATGTTTCCAGGAGAGAGTGCTTAATGGTGCAGCCGTATAGATTAATGATGAAATAAAAGCAAGTTTGGTTGGTTTGAACGGAAAATTTGATTTGAGGACTTGCAATATGGTAAGGGGCTTAGCAAGTAGATCACATAATGTATATTGTTTACCAATTAAATCATCTTATGAAGTTAATTGCTGTGTGCAGATAATGGTTCCAGACAGATCTGTAGAGGGGTATTACGTTCTGTTGTCTTCAATATGTTTACTCATGTGGTCTATGTGTTTGATCCTGCAAACTCATGGTAGCTTGAGACAACATTGGAGAAGAAGCACTGGGCAAAATATATGTTGTTGCTTAATGGGATGTCGTCCTTGATATCTGAGTTATACCCCGGCTATCATGTTGATGCTTCTAAATGGAAAATGAAATGCCATAAAGTGTTGGCGGACCGAGTGAAGAGGTGAACATACTGAGCTTTGATTTTTCATTTAGATATAATTATTTATGTTTTTCAATATTTGGTAGTCTCTAAAGTTCTGCTGCAATGTGCTGGTAGGGGTGATACTGCATTCCATGTTTTACTCATCATATTGAGCTTCAATGGGCAAGAGATAAAGCACATTCTTAACACGGTTAGTAGTTATTATTCTAGAAAATTGCACATGTAATGTGGAAAATCATTAATCAATTTGTAATGCTGACATAAGTAAATTGTTTCTTAATGCAGAATTCTCTGGCATTATTCAAGCTTAATGTGCCACATTCAAGTTTCCCAAGGGAAATCATACCATGTTAAATTCTGAGTTACCTAAGTTATTTAACTGGTAGAGCGGCAACAAGTCGTGGTATTGTAATGAATGTCATACTACTTATTATTTAAGACATATATGGATTGTTTTAAATTAGTTAAGCTCTATGAAGAATGTGGGATATATTTCGTAAGCTTAAATTCGACAAGTACTATGGCTATGTCTCTGAATGTTTGTTTGGTTTTATTTGTCTATATTGTCGTTGTATTGTTTATCAGCATGTTTCGTTTTTTGAAGCATGGTTGAGTTTTTATTTATATTTGATTCATTGTATGCTACGTACGTTAGGGTGTATGTATATAGTAATTTTGATATTTGTAGCAACTATTTTAGGATCATTTTTTTTGAAATAATAAAATTTGTTTTCTATATATACTTAGAAAATTTAATTAAGAATGTTGTACTGCTTGAAGGAAAATATAATATTGAAATGGGTGGTGTTTTAGTAGTAAGATACATTCCTGGTACACATGTGGTGCTTTGTTTGCGGTGTATAGATTTATTAACAATTAAAGTATTAAAAAAATTACTATGTTATTATGATGTAGGGGTGGAATATGCTTAAGTGGCAGAATCAAAATCAATTATAGTATCATAATGTGTGTAGTCCATATTTGTTTTTGTACTAAAGTAAAACAATTAAATATGTTATTGCAGATGAGTAAGTTGTCAAGTGTAGTTGAAAAAGATATCTATAGAATGTGTGTACTTGTAAAAAAAAGTGTATGAGCAGCAGTATGGTGGATTAGTAGCATTCAGAAATTGTGTATTTAATTTTGTTATACGAGTGCAATACTTGGTCATGTTTTATACAATAAAATGTTAGGGAATTTCAGGACTTATTTGAATTACTAATATGATTTGAATATAAGGTGGCGTAGCACCCGAATGATCGTATGCATTTTCTGTTCAATCCCCTTAAATTCAATAATAATTTAATAATTGAAAAAATTAAGAAAAACATGTATATATTTTTTAATCTAATATGACTAGGTATCGTACTCATATAAATATTTTGGAAAATGAAAAAATCACGTAAACTTCAGGGTTAGGAAAACCTGGATATATTGTTGAACGAAAATTAAGGTATGAAATATGATGACATATTAGCATGAATAGTACTTGAATCTAGCCTTTTGGGGGAACATCATTTACCCCTAATACAATAAATTTCCGTAGTAATGTTTGGTTCATTTAAAAATTACGTGAATTTTTGAAAAAAAATGAATTACTAAATTATTTGTGAATAGGGGTGGGGTAGCAACCGAGAGCTCCAATGCATTTTCTGTTAATTTACTATAAAAATTATTAAGTATATATGAATAATTTAGGAATGTGGATGTGTGTGTGCATAAGTCTTCCTACATATGTCAATAATAATAAAGTTGTGTCATTTTGTTACGTTCCATAAAGAGACCTACATTACTGAACATGCCATAAAATGCATAAATATATTAACTAATACATCTGTTTTATAGATTTTGGATGAACGGACATGAAGTAAACAAAGCTTAATAATAATACAATTTTGTGGAAATGGAATGTATGTAGTTTTTACACTGTATAACATGAAAATAGTTACAAAGTTGACGATATGTATAAATTAAAGATTGTAAAGCTGTGTAGTAGTAAAACTGTTGGGATATAATTATTCAAAATAAATTACATAATAGCTTACCTTATGTGAAAAGTAAATATTGAAAAAAGTTGATGTTGCATTGTAATTTATTCTTTTTTGAAATTAATTATAAGAAAATGGATGAAAAGGGCATTGTGTTTTTCGTCATGTACAGAAGATAAACAACGGTTGCATCGTAAGGATGAAGAAAACACATTCGGTACATTGGTTGGGACGTCAAATTGCAATGAACGATAAATATAGTTGAAATGGTAAACATCCATTCTAGTAAGGTCGGTAATGTAAAAAATAGAAGTTTCTAAAAGGATTGTTCACACAGTAATAAACAAAGTAAGTAAATATAAAAAATGTATCAAATGTACGGAATAAGAGTGACTTATGAATTGAAGAGGGACATTAAGTACGTCGAATTCAGAACATTAATGTTTCAATATAACTTGGCAAACAAAGTAAGTAAATATTACATTCCAAAGACATGACTTATTGAATGCAACGTAAAATAAATAGTATATGATCAGAACACATGGAACAATCCATATGACAAATGTTCTAGCTGACTATGGCGTGAAGCTCGACAGGCGGTTCTCCGGCGTTGTGAATGAGTTTGGCAACGTCTGCAACCAAATTAATTTTCTGGATCCTCACATTTACCTGAAAGTAAAAACAAGCAGATTTAATGTTGGATATTGCTGCTAAAGATAATAATTAAAATCCGGTGGAATTAAATAGTATTTTGGAAAAATAGTTAAAAATGCTTTATAGGAATCTAACAATCATATTATAAAAAAGAAGACTGAATTATATATTCTATTACCTTGTTAAGCATTTCAGACACACCAACGCCGTTGAAAGAACAGGCCATTTGAATCATAGCCAAGTCAGATTCATCCCTGTGATGCAAAATAGAAAAATTAAAAAGATCATGTTTGTTTGATCTGGGGTTGAAGTAGTAGGAAAACAGGGCATGGTTTAGAAATACTCACTTGGTGAAAACTTCGGAGGCAAGTATATCATATACTTTCTTCCAATTCAAACAGTCGACGTGCCAGGTATTGAAAAATTTGAATAGACAGGAGTAAAGGCCAACATGAAGTTTTTCGGCGATGCAATCGTGTGTGGTATTTAGAGAGCTATATTGGGCTGAGTCGGCACAAGGGTTTAGTATGTGTATAAGTTTGCGTTCCATGTCCCATGCGTAAGCACACCAGCCAGTCTGAAGCGTTGCCGGCATGATGAACTGTGTAGGTGGGCAACCTAATGTTAAATTTATATTTAAATATAATATGTTATAAATTGAAATGGTAAATGTTGATTACCATTTTACAATTCGATAGATGAGTTGACGCTCGTTGGCTAAGGAATTGGTTTTGTATGGAGCGTACTTCCCATAGATTCTCGCCAGCAAGAATACATGTCTGCATAGAAGGTAATTAAATAAATACGTAAAGTGTATAGGGAACAGTAGTGTCGGTAATAAAATAACAATAAGGTAACAGGAAATTAATGGTTAATTGAACTGACCGATAAATCTGGTTCAAAGAAAATACGCCAAAAGCCGCCTGAGGGATATAGGAAAATGTTGTCATTAATAACAATAGTCCGGACGATTAAAGAGCATACTTCATGGTCTAGTGGTGTATCACCAACTAACTGGTCTCTAATGGAAGATCCATTGATTGAAATGAATCTTGGATAATCATGTCTGACCCAAGGCCTACAAATTTAATGGTGTTAGAGTTGTGTATTATGTAGTGCAAAAAGTTTAAACAGTATGTAATAAGTGGCATACCTCCTAGCAACATCTTCAGATAGTTTGTTCATGAATTGTTCAACAGAAGCAAGGCTGTCAATACTCAGTTTAGGCTGATAAGCACGTGCAGTCCAATGGTCAGTAGCGTACTTTAGATGGCGAGACGCTGATTTAGTAGGCAGCTGATCAGATAATTGGGCAAAAGTAACGGCTCCATCAGGTATGTTTTGGTCATCATTGAACATCAAAACACCACAAGCGATTGTGTCGGCCCATGTCTTAGCTAGCTGTAGTGTTGAAGGCTTATTTGAAGTGGTGGCAAATGACGGAGGTGTCACAGAATTTGCTGGTGATATACATGCGAAATGAATAGGTTAGTGAATTGAAGGTAAGAAAGAATGAAATTAATCGAACTCTTGCCGAGGATAAAACACCAAACCTTGAAGAGAGTTAATCCTAGGTCGTTTCTTGGAGTGTGTGGTTGGGACACTATCTTGTGTAGTGCGGTTGAAAAAAGGAACCTTGCTTGTGGACGAGGAAGTCTCACCTGAACAATGAATGAATTACACGTTAGGAATGGAACGTGTAGAAGAAATGAGTTATTTGTACGACATAACAATGAATGTAATAATAACCTTCAGAATCTGACATGTCCAATTTACGACCACTTAAAGCTAAATTTTGATGAGTTGTGCTCATAGGAGGCGAACTCTGCATTATACATGGAAGAGACCAAATGCTACAACAAATACAACTTGATGATAGAAGGGACATTAGTTTGTCAAGAAATGCCGTGTTCTCGCGTAGAATGGAACTCCGCAATGATGTGGCTTCTCTAGTTACAATGGCATTGTTGCGTCTTAGAAGTATACCAATATCAGATGACACCTGTAGTAAGAATAAAGTTTAATAAGTGGTTCAATAATAGAATGATCGTTAATATTAGACATATTGCACTAACTATATGAGGATAATTGGACTTCATGTAGTTAGCAAAGTTGTGGACAGTGGTATGTGGAACGGCTGGTGTGGTTGGAGTTCGTGGTGTCTTCAGAGATAATGATGTAGATGTTGGTATGGTAGGACGTAAAGTAGGAGTAGGTGATTGATTACGTTGCGGCATTGTCCGGGAAAGATTTTCAGCGGCTAAGTCAAATGTACTCCTTGTGTAACAATTATCGTGGGGTGATCGTATCTGCAGACAGTCAGATAAACAATTATTGTGGGTTAGCGCCCGAGAAGTACTACGAATTTTTCGGAAATAAAACCATCTTTTGTGGGAAAACTATAATATTGAATACAATAAAGGTCAAAAGCTATTTAAATGTTGTATATTAGTGCAATAAGTCGTCATGTTTGGTTAGATAAATATTTCTGAGTATTACTGACAGATTTCGAATTAGTAATTTGTTTGGACTAAGACGGTGACGTTGGACGCGATAGCTGTTTAGCATTAGTAACATAATTGAAATTTAAAACTTGTGAAGGGTTTGTCAGTTTGTCATGACGTTATTGTAAAATGTAAAAAAATGGTAATGTGTGATTATTGATAAAGGTTAGGTTAGGAAGTGATAAATGTTAGGAATGCAAATATTGATGTACATGAAAGTGCTTCAAAAAACAGGTTGTAGAAAATGTGAGGAAATGTTGATTATTGGGTTAGTCAATGTGTAATGTATGCATGCTTTAAAAATAATACTTAAGTAATGTGAGGAAAGAAGGAATTGTTTTAATAAAGTATAAACGGTGCACTTAGATAATTAAGTATAGATTATGAAAATTAATACGGTTATTGTTGCATCTAAAAAAAGTTTTATTTGTTTATTTGGGAAAATTATTTATTATAATTGAATCTAAAAAATAAACATGGAAAAATAATTATGTTATTTGTGTATCGAAAATGACTTAGGATGTTTTGCAATGGAAAATAATAATCATTGGAAAATGATCATGTTAAGGTGCCTAAAAAATGTACAGGTTTTATATTCGATTGAAAGGATAATATATTAAATATTAAAGGAAAAGAAACATTTTATTTTCATTGAAAAGGGATGAAATTGTATTTTGAGGGGAAAATGTGTAAATGAAAATGTGATGAAGTATAATAATTTTACCGGCGAAATAAAAAAAACATGAGCACTATTGGCAGTTGATGCCCGTTAGTAATTCATGGTGAAAAGCATAGAAATCATATGTAGGGATCATTAATAAACGATATGAAGTAATGATTGACATGTAAGTGGCGATGAAAAAAGTGATGTATAAAATGAATGTGATAAAATGTTGATTATTGACTAATTCAATGTGAAATGTGTGAATGGTTTTAAAATATGGTTGAAGAAACTCTTATTGTTCAATTGATAAGTACATTAGATTTTTTGCATGTGAAAAGTTTTTATGTTAGTGTGCAATGAAAAAAAACATTAATGGGCAAAGGTTTTTGTCATTTGTGGTTAGAAAAATACTTTTGTTATTTTGCATTGGAAAAGGACAACATGTGAAAGAAAGCATGTTATTTTTTGATGAGAAATGTACAGATTAATTATTGGATTAAAAGTGCAATATATTAAAATTCGTTGGAAAAGACGTATGTTATTTGGCATTGGAAAAGGATTACATTGTGTAATAATTAGAAAATGTGTACAAATATATGTATATAAGTAAGATAATTAGAACGCGTGAATAAAAAAACGTGAGCACGATTGGCGGTTGATGGCCATGTTGCATTATAAATTGAATTGAACGATGCCCCAGTTCTGAAAGGGAATAAAATATAGTAGAATATATTAAGTGAATTTGCATGAATAACAATTTGTATATAGTAATAATAAAACGGAGGTTTGGTGGATATATATAGTTCAATGGCATTGTTATGAGATTGAAAAAAAGGACGCGAATTGTTGTACCGGAGCACAAGAGTAGTCCCACGTTAATTTGTCGGTACTTGTGGTAGCCAATATCATGCGTCGTAATTTGTTATCGTCGAAGGAGGCAACTCTTGGATAAGTATCGTGAGGGATATTGTTAATTCCGAGGTTTAGGTTGTCAAGAACAAATACCTGGATAGTGTGAAGTATAATTATAATTGTAGCGCATGGAATCGGTTAAAAACAACAAGTAATAATAACATATGTAGATCTACAGGTCGTACCTGGAGGAATACATGACATCCTTGAAGATGGGTCTTTAACTTGTTATTGCGCATGTCTGATTGAACTTGTTGTGATGCAGAAATCAAATCGGATAGAACGTAGTTGCACCAATCAAAGTCAGCTATCCTATCAGTGTTTGCTATTTCTCCCCAATAGTCAATTATTGATGTGTCGTGCTTGTTAGAAGGAGCAAGAAGGTGGCCGATAACGAAAATAACGAATGCCATCTTGAAACAATCTTTCTCTAAATTACTAGAACAATGCTCAGACAAAGGACGAGTGAGGTTGGATTCAGCAGCTTTTAGAACTTGATTTCCCTTCTTTGGCATTCCAAGAACAGAACGTAGGAACTGTATAGTCGTTTCTGAGCATTGGCCATCCGGCCCAAGAATATTTTTGGGCCCACATGGCACACCAAATACTTTGTGAACATCTCCAGGCCAGAAACGAAGCCTTTTAGTGGCATTTAGGTGTACAGACATGGAAGGCCCATCAAGACGACTCATCCACCACTTGCTAAAACGTAGATTAAGTCGGGCGAGTGCTGGGAGTTTAAGAATCCCTCCCCAACCAATTTCATTAACAAGAAATCTTTTGTACTCGTTGAAAGACGAAACAATAGAAACAACTTTTGTTACGGACGTGCGTGAAGTTGGTGCTAAACCTCCCGGATGAGAATCTGAGCTGTCATCGAGTTGGTCAGCTGCATCTAGCACCTCTTCGATCAAGCGTGATGAACTAGGGCGTGAATATGACATCCTGGAACATGAAAAAATTGATAAAGTAGTTAGTTTTCTCCTTTTAGGGATGAAATAAGATGCAACCGATGGGAAAGCATGTACGCTTGTTTGAGACATACCTTGGTTAAATGATGAAGATACGAAATCTTTAGATAAAAGCAGGTCTTGCTATGCGTGGTGAAGCCTATGGCGTGGGTGGACGGATTGGGTGTCTGGTTGGGATGGAATACATTTGTGCAGATATGTGTAGGGGGGTTTATAATTGGAGGAAGCAAGCGTGTTGGGACAGCCGATGGACGATATTGATGGTTGCACAGGAGCATTTATGCCTGTTGAAGCAGCCTTTTGGGCAGGGAATGTTGACTTTGGGGGGAGAGGTTATTTATTGAGAGATGGTACAATGTGGTGTGGGATGGACGTAAATAATGAACAATAATGACAGAGGTAATGGAGAAGGTGGATAATTAAAAATTCATACATCATAAATCTGATTACGAATGCGTGAAAGGGGTACTAGTTCTGATACATGATTACAACATCTAATCATAAGGTGGATTAAAATAAAAAATAGAATTTGCAAGTGGATGGCAGCTGGTTACAGACAATACAGATAAACAAATTTATTCAATAAAGAGCGGCTTGAACTTGATGGACATGCACTAGTCGGGAGAGCTCCCGCCGGCTTCATGCGACCTTGCAGCATACAAAGAGCAGAGCGAGCAGATTGACCAGAAGGAGAACGAAGATGATGCGGTGGAATTTCCTGTCTTCGCGGGAAGGGACGGTGAACAACCTCGGCCACTTGGCTCATATGATGTTGATGTAGTTCTCTTCCCATTTCCAAAAGTTGCATTTGTGAGTCTGGCAAAATCGGAAGAAAAAAGGAAGATGGTTACAGGATAGAACAGGATAGTACAGAGATAGTGGAAAAAGAATTAGGACATACCCACTCGTGCTCGCACTTGTAAAAGTGCTTGCCTGGATTGTTTGACGTGCGAGAGACCCACCACTAAACCATACCATTGTTGCAGAAAGGGCAGATCATGAGTGGAAGTGGTGGCTGCTCCTCAAGAGAAACAAGGGGGGAGCTGGAGCTTGACATGGGATGGGTTGAGCTAGACATGGCAATGAGAACCATGTACAAGGGAGGAAGCTGTTCTGAATGGGTGGTATGAAATGTTCTTGACGGTATGATATGGAGTAGTGAGGAAGCTGCTAGCTGCAAGCATTTTATATCTGACGAGAGGAGGAAGATGACCGTTGTAGCTTTGGATTGAGCCGATGACCGTTGTAGCTTTGGATTGAGCCGTTGCAGGAGATTGTGAAGCGTGAGCATTAAATCCAGATGGGTGGTTGGGAGTTGGCGGGCGAGTGGGGAGAAGGACAAGATGATGTGAAATTGCCTGGACAAAGGAGAAAGCGCATTGCACTGTTCAGTTTATATACCGTACTTTAGAAATGAATAGTACACGTTAAATGATGTGAATACGGCGGAGCTAATATAGTGAGTGCGAATACCAATGCCGGTGGATGGGATGAATTACAGTGGGGGGAGTCGCCGAGAGCTCCTAGGCATTTTCACAACAATGACAAGCTATGCAATAGAATAGGAGCATTGAAATCAATAACAGTAGCAAACCTAATGCAAGAATAAGGGAGAAGAGAGTGGGCGATATATGGTTGATCAAAGGGGGGATTGCCGGGTTGCTCTGGCAAGGAAAGACGGGTCATCGTTGATATAGTCGTACTCAGTGGCATCAGCACCGGTCTCGGGGTCTACCGGAGAAGAGGGGGAAGAAACAGTAAATACGGAGCAAACAAGGCATCACAAAATATAACAAGGCAATACGCGGTGCCAGGGATGATCTAACGCAGGGATAGGTGATACCGGCGAAGGAGGGAAACATCCGGGAAAGTATTCCTGATATTCGGCATTTTCGGACAGACGAACAGAAGGGGGATGGTTGCATGTTCGTGGCATTTCGGATTCTTCATATTTTTCTGAGCAACTTTCATATATAAATTATTTCGATCTAAGCTACGGTTTATTTTATATGATTTTCTAAAGTTTTAATCATTTTATGAATTTATTTTAATTCAAAAATAAGACAATAAAATACTTTTGTTACATAGTGCTACCTAGCCCATGTGTATGACAACGGGACCCAGGGGGCTGGTCAACACAGTCAAAATGACTGGTCAAAACTAGAGGTGGTGGCCCACTTGTCATTGGCACAAAAATTAAACTAGTGTAGAATTAAAGTGAGGTACATGTCATTGGGCCAACCAAGTTTACCTAACACTAAACAAATCGATGTTGGCAGGCTGCAAGCACGCACATGAGCATGCAAGGCATGCGTAGGAGCGCCGGATGCTTTGTGTGCACGCATGTCTGGCCGGCTATGGCCGAAGTGCAGCACAACAAGCACGCGTAGAAGGCCGTGGGCCGGCAAGCAGCGGCGAGTGCGGCTGGGCGCCGCAGCAGCATCAGTTAAAATAGCAGTCGAGCCGCAAGGCAGCAGCAACAGGCAGGGAAAGGAGCAGACTAGCAGCTCAGCAGCTAGCAAAAGCAATAGATAGCAGTGGCAGCCGCATGAGGAGCAGCCAACAACGGCAACAGTAGCAAGAAGTAGCAGTAGGAAGCAGGCAACAGCAGCAGCGACAAAGTAGTAGGCATGGCGTGCAGGGAGCGTGGTCGGGCGCCGTTGGTCGTGGCCGTGGGCGTGAGGCGGAGGTGGGCTTGGTCAGGAGGGGGCGCGAGGCTGAGTCGGGCAGCACGGCAGGCCGCAGTGGGCGGCTGCAATAGGGCAACAGATGTTGTGGCGGCTGGCAGGGGCGCCGACGACGAACCCTGGCGGCGGCGGAGATCAGACTAGATCGGGCGTGCCTCTACGGGACACGAGGAAGAGAGGGGAGAGGTCGCGAGGGACCGGGGGCTCATAGAGAGTGTCGCAGGCGTCTCGGTGAGGCCGAAGGTGGGCGAGGTCAGCGGATCGACCGATGAAGTGTGGCGGCCGTGGCGGAGTGGAAGGCGATGGATCCGGCACCGTGAGGGCTCTCCGGCTTGGCCTGGTGGGCAAAGAAGAAGCGGCGGCCTCCGGTGGTGCTCCTGGCGCAGGCCTAGGCGATGGGGACGACGGTGGGCACGCAGACAACGGTGGCCATGGCTTCGAGGTGCTCGGGCAGGGCAGGGAGGGCGAGGGGAGAGATATGGGGGCGCAAGGGAGAAGAGATCTAGGGTTCCAAGATGGGAGAAAGAGAGGCAGGGGGTCTTGTAGGAGAGGGAGGAGGCGTGGATGTCCGACACCTGGCCGGGGCGCCATGGATGGCCTCCACGCCCTCGTGTGAACAGGAGGTGGGAAGAGGGCAGCTGGGCTGGGCCTCCCCAACCACATGGGCCAGAGCACCCAGTAGTTTATGTTTTCTTTATTTTTTGTTTGCTAACTTGTATTTAGTTTTAGGTACTAAACAGTTTTAACTAAATGTGCAAAGTAACACATAAATCCTTGGCAACATCTTGGGCTAGCCAACAAGTTAAAATAATTTTGACTTGTTTACATATTTATTTAAATTGAGATGGTTCAGTTAAAAGCTTTATGGGTCAGTTACAAATAGCTTAGGGGCATTTTATCATTCTGAAAAATGTTGATCCTTTCATGAAAAATTGTTAGTGAAAATTTGCAACCCAACCCACATTTTTGTTTTGCCATTTGAAAACTTTAATTATTTTGACTTTAATTTAAATTTGAATTTGAATCAGGTTTGGATCAAAGTGAGGTTTAGAAAATTAATTGTGATGGCTTGGCACATTAGGGTGAGGTTACTGTAGATTAATTTAATTATCGGGGTGTTACAAATCTCCTCCACTACAAGAAATCTCGTCCCGAGATTTAGGAGCGGGAGTAAGGGGGAATGGATTTGGTTACGAAATTCTAACGGGTCTTCTCAAAGAGATCGATCCATTACATTGACGTCTTCATTCCTCTGTTTTAGGCCATCATGACGAAGTCGACATCCTTTCTTTGGGAACTCTATCGTACTTACACAAGAATAAAGGATGGGTATTTTGGGAGAACGAACCTCTGCAAGGTTGTCTATCTGGTCGATAACATCGGTGAAGGTGGCAGAAAGTAACTCTCGAATTGAAACTTAAGAAAATATCGAGAGCAAAGTAAGGAGGTCATGGGAAGTTTCAAGCAGGCGGGGAAATGTTCGATGCCTGAAAAAGAGTGTGGAAGGGGTTCAAAGCATCAAGATTAAGTATTGCATCTGATACCGGAACAGATCACTAGGAAGGTGCCTCATGAATCACATATGAAGCCAAGTTCTCGTCCATCGGTGGTTATCGGTATGTCATCAACAATAGTAACAGGGTCTTACTGACAGAACTGTACACCGAGGTGTTTACATAAGCAGGAGAATATTACTGCTTAGATCATATAGACCTCAAGAAAGTTTAAACCAAACAATGGAAAGGATAATATGATTATCAAATTAAACAGAACAATGGAAAGGAAAATGTGTTTAAACACGTATTTCAGGGGTATATCCTTCCCAAGGAGAAGCAGACCATGATATCCATGACAAGATATAACATAGAAAACCCTTTAGGAAAGGGGAGAGAAATTTCATGGCATTACCAATACAACGGTGTTCAGATAATTAACAAAGATTTTTTTAGCATTGTGCTTCAAATGTTCTTATCAAAAATCGTAGTACCATTGACATGCTTCGGGATAGCATTGACATGGTCTTCAAGCAAAGGTCAGACTTTGCATACACAAAGGATCCATCGGGAACACTCATAGAATAAGTCTTATACTTTCCTCATGGAAGAATGGTTAACCTTGCTAAAAGGGAAACTATAATAATAGGTTCTTCGGCCAGGTGTGCTAGGCATGACATCACCTTACCGGGTCATATAAAGACCAATGTTATAACTCTTGGAAATATGTTTCAACCATCATATCTGATCGAGATTCAGATCTGATCGGTGTTAGGATACCTCAGGCTCATGA